TGTATGGAATGTTATAATCCCTGCTGCTCAAAAAACTTAAGAGAACATTTAAATCTCACATCAGATCTTGAAGAATTAAACAGTCAATTTGAAAAGCTTTACTGAAATACAGTAAATGAAATAACGTAACATTGTTCATCAGAAACCAAAATCCTGAGCCCTTTGAGGCCTGGATTTAAAATCACACCAAAACTCTAATTAAAAACTCTTCTAGTGTTCCCTTCAGTTTCTGTGCAGTGTATAAATATATGTAAAATGTATTGGCTGAAACTTTTTTTACAACACATTCCTCATGCAACTCCAAGGAACTCTTGAAGCAATGAAATTAACTGCAAATTCACTGCTTCTTTCTCTTTTTTAGAAAAAATAAAGGTTTTCCATTTCTTCTATGCGTAAACAGGGGTTTCAGTTTAATGGTTATTATTATGAACTGTTTCCCATGTGTGTGTGTGTGTGTGTACATAACTTGTAACCATGGCCACGTAGCCAACACCAGCCCACAGTACACTAAACACATATTTTGAAGTTTATGCATTCATATCAAGGCTGAGTGGCTCAGAGATGTAGGAAGCGATCCCCAATAACCCTACACACTAAACTGTTCTAATCAAAGACTATATTAATAATTCACTCATTTTTGAGGTTAATAATTCAGTATTTTTATTATTGATGAATATTTTTTCCAGCTCCTTATTCTACAAATCTACATATTTCCAGTGCAGTCTGGAGTTGATTTTCCACACTGGCTCTCCCTCTTGCCATAGGCCAAAGCTTGAGCAGAGAAAGACAGATGTTTACAACACATACAAAATCTTAAAATCTTACCAAGCAATATTTGTGGTGTATACTAATTAAACTTGATGAAACCTAACAAAGAAAAACAACCATAGACATTTTCATCTACTGTTTTCCACATAAACCCATTTGCTGCTATGTTCATTTGTTTCTCTGTGCATGTCAGTGCACTTGATTACCACCTGCTGCACTGTGAAAAACCACAGTACACAGATCCACATTCAGTAAATCCAGTGGACATTAACAAAATTGACTAAGAACCACTGGTTTTAAAATGTATTCAGAAGAAAAGAAACAAAAAAGTTTGGAATTTCTCCTTGTCTGTTTTATTTCATTCATTTAGATCAGTGATTATTATATCAATATTTTATTTCTAGCTAAGGCTTTTTATGATTAGCTACTAATTAACAAATCTTATGATGGGTGCATATAATTATAAAAGCACGTGGCCTACCTACAGACTACCTTATCTGTATTGATCACATAATGCAAGCGTTTTCGTTCTTTGCCACCAGACATATGTCACATATTAAAGCATGACTTTTGGGGGCTTCATGTGCTGGCTCTTGCTGTGCAGTGGTGCCCTGAACTGGGGTATGACCATGAATCAGATGAGGGGTTCATGACCTCTGACCTTTATGAATAAGATGCCGTGACCTGTCTGCATTCCTAAAGTGGCTTTGATCAGGTAGAACAGCAGCTGATGCCGCCATGGAAAAAAACACGAAGTTGCCAGAGCACTTCCACAGTCAAGATCTAAACAACAGAAATGCATGTTTACAATGTGTTCATTTTCTTTTGTTATATAACAAAAACATTGAAAAAATATAAACTTAAAAAAATGATGAAAAGAAAAAACTTGAAAGCGAATCAAGTGAATCACAGAATTTTAGTGAGCGTTTGATCCCATAATCAGGTCTGCAAATTGAAATATCCTCATTCATTAAGGAATTCCCAGAAAAAAATTGGAAATTTTTCAGAGGTTTGTGATCCAAATTTGGATTTAATAAATAAATAACATATTTATCACATTTTCAAAGACCCACCATTGTCCACTCTGACCACATATTTAATATTGAAGATTTGAGTTGAGTTGAGTCCACCCAGACACACGTCTCATGTCTGTATAATAGTACACAGTGAGTGAGAGAGAACAAACATAGCTACATCACAGAAAGCCTTCACAAACCGTTAATTCATTTATACATGACTCAAAGCATAACAAACACTAGCCGGTGTCTCTGATCTCAAATACCTATGTCATGACCTGGATCCAAGGCCATGACAAAACAGAAACGGGCACCGGTGGACGATAAATTTAACCCTTTATTGTGATAACATAAAGCAAACAAAAAAAAATAGCACATGTTTAGCAGAAGTATCACCTGCATGTGTAAATGTGGGCATTTAAACATGGTGAAATGTAGGGTGTTGTGGAGGATATATTACAAAACCCCAAAAAACAACAGAGGAACATACAAATGCATGTGGGTGAGGAAGGAGAGCTTAGTTGGATTGGCTTTAGTCTTCTTGAATCCTCAGACTAGGTGCACGAAATCAGATGATTATATCAGCCTAGCATTATTATGTACCTTCGGGAACAAAAGGGGAGACTTATTAGCCACATCCCCACACACTGGTAGTTAGGCAGGGGCTGTCGCAGCTTGTTTGTCTGCATGGTTGGACTTTACATTTGAGGTGGTTCAGTCTCCTGTGTCAATTTACCAATTTATGGGAGAACTTCATATGCTGACACAAAGTCATGATCAGAGAGCGGAGAAAGGATCAATCTAAGCAGTGGTATGATGACTGTGCAGACACACTGAATAATAGAAATGTCAAAATTAACTTGTGCATTATTGTTTTTATCCACCCTGCTTCAGACATGAACAGTTGCACCCGCTTTAAGGGGGTCAAAGGTCTATCAAGCACACACACAAAAAAAGCTGAGATATAAATAAAGTCTTTCATCCTTCACGCTACAGTTTTCAGAAGTGCAGAAGCAAAACAGCATTTTTTTTTCTCTTTTACATAACCATCTGTCGTCAACAATTTTCAACTCTTCTGAACTGCTTCTTCTGGAAAAAGCAGAGCGACTCTTTGTTTGTATTACAAAAATGTGCAGGGCATGAGACTGCATAGCAGTATGACACGGAGTCCAAATCTGACATATTTTTCATTAAACTCTGACTTTAAAGCTGTCGTGCTAAATATGCTGACATTCAGGAGACGCACAAGTTGTATACGTTCGCATGAAAAGCAGTCCGTCTAAATTATCCCCTTGCATGCAACCCCGACCACACTGAGGCAGATCTGACATATCCCAACGCCACCCCCGAATTTCCATCTGGAACAGATGTTCTTTTTTTGTTGTATTGCATAACACTGGTAATCCAACACAAGCTCGTCTCTGGGACCGCCTGGGTTCAAGCAGTCTAAGGATTACTTCCACACCTAAGGTTATTCCCAGGCTTTTAATATTAAAATGAACTCCAAGGGAAGGAGTGTGGAATCACTGATGTTTTGATTTGGACTAGTTTTCTTCCTTTCGTTAGAAATTCCGGTGGAAGCCTAAAAAAGATTTTGAAATGTGGTCAATAAATAAAAGAACCAGAACATGTTCTACAAGTAGACTGGTAAGATTATTACCTTCAAGAGATTAATGTTTGACATACAGTATTTTTTATGACAAAATATGATTTATTATAAGGGTTAGATCTCTATGGATTTGATGCAGTGAGGTATGAATACAAAAATCTTCATGGTTAATTTGCCCTAATTTTCCTAAATGAACACATTATTCCCAGAACATAGTGTTTCTAAACCTTATGGTAAATGAAGCCAAAGGTGTAATCAACTTCAGGCTTTTTTCAGCTCCTGCACTCTTTGGTATGTTGACTCCACGGACTCTGCCAAATATAGTTTTTCCTCTACAGAGCACCAGCCATTAGCACAAGTGTGGTTAAATTATGGCACCACTTCCTGCTGTAGTGGATCCATCAGCCTCTTTTGACTGAAATGCACAGGGATTCATATTTGCATGGATCTGACTCTAATTTTCTTGTATAAAAGAAGTCAATAGACACCGGTCTCCAAACTCCTTTTTACATAGCATAAATGCCCTCCGAGTCAATAAACTGCACCTCCCTCCCGTTACCTATTAAATGAAGAATGCATGTCAGACATATTGATCAGGACCCTCCACCTCACATAAAATCGGTTGTCGTGACACAAAACACCTGGAAAGACCAGAGTCTCTTGTTTATAAGGAAGCACTGGTAACAATGCCGTGTTCACAACAGTGAAATCTGATCCGTGATGATGGTTGCGGGCCAGAGACACGTCTCCTCATTTCAACTATGCAAGTCTAGTTTGCGTACCAGGGAAGCCACAACATGTGTAGCTGCACACAAGCTGCTGTGACTGGCTGCCAGTCCGTCTGACGGAAAATGCTTCTAGGACAAACTGTTTTTTCACTCTGCCAGATTCCAATCTGCATGCAACCTAACTATTATTACTTCGCTGTCATTAGCGGTCGTGCTGGTTTTGACTTTGGAAAAATAAAGAGTGAGTAATAAGTTACTTTCTCAAATTGTCAATGGGTAAAAAAAACTCCGACTCTGAGCAGCCATAAATAGCAAACACAAGCTTGTGCTGTAGTACCCCAGAGATCCATGCATTTCACAATTTCACAAATCGCATGCTGTTCGTCAGACTTCGTAAACACAAACAGGGCACGCGGAATTCAATAGAAAATCAATGTATTCAGATACTGAGATGAAGAGGCTATATCTTCCAGGAAAGCCATGCTAGTTTGAACAGAAGTTGAAGGGTTGTTTACTCTGAAACTCAGATGAACGGGTTTCACAGCTGTTCAACTTTTGCCCCTGAAAATAAAGTCTACTGCTGCAGCTACTGAGTTTTTCCTCCCAGTTTCAGATTTCTCCATTACAGATGTGCAACTTCACATCACGTACATTAAGGAAATCCATTTTAAAGATAGCCATTATTGAAAGTATCCCACTCTTATTACTAATACTCAGCAATAAAAGCATGTGATGGCACCACATGACGTTTTAGTGATGGGATGATATTCTTAGTACTAACACTACCAGCCATACTTAAAAGCTACAGACACTATATAGTATGAACCGAAGGGCAGACTTAATTTAGAAAAAAGAAAAAGAGAGAGCGACAATGTCAGCTTATTTTATAATGTAAACAAGGTTTATTGCAAATGTGCAGTCGTATCCAAACATCTAGTGAACAACTCTTTTGAGGATACATTACAGCAACAATACAGTCATCTTTTACAAAACAAATACAAAGGTCAGCTCTAGTTATGACGTAGACTTCTCCCTGTGAAGTTTTGCACATGGTCCTGGTTTGCTCAGCGTCTGCTGTTGTGTGGAAAACATAACGAGTCTTTGGTAGCTAGAAAACAACAACAACAACAGCAGCAGCAACTGAGGACAGTGTGAGAATGCGTTCCTCTCTTTCTTTACAGGCACTGTTGTCATGCCATTGTTTTCGAGTTGGCATCTGAGCAGGTAAACAGGCCAGACGCTGGACGACGCTGCTACAGTCAGGAGTGCATCTGCAGCGAGAAATGCAGGTGTCTGCTTGCAAGTAAGCGATACTATGTTAATCTCAGGACTTTTAAACTCTATGTACATTGTAGTTATTCCGTCAAGAGTTAGGAAAACAGATATGCACCATATATTACAAAAAAAAAGAAACGTTTGAAGAAAAAAAAAACACAATGTTCCTACTTTACAAACGACTGATTTTTGTTCCAAAAATCAAAAACAAAAACAGAGCAGGATTAATTTTCCCCCATAAGCAGCAAGCCCCAACTGCAGGCAATACAAAATTACACTTTTTGAATCATTAACAGTATACTGATCGGTTCACCAGCTCTAAAAACATTAATCTGTACTGACCTCTACCTCTGTTGCCCAGCTTATTGTGTTAATTATTGGTGTTATGCTCGGATGTACACAAACACATCAGCAATACGTTGTCGGTACAGGTAAAGTCTTTGTTATGTGGCTGAAATGTACTGCTGCAAGGCTTTTGAGACAGATCCACGCAATGGGGCGCCTCGCACTGAGACCTGGAGGGCCGTCTCAGATGGGTTTCCTGTGAGTAATGGAAGAGCAAACTCTCCACACTTTTCCAAGTCAAGCACCTGCAGGGCCAGCCCGATCAACACCTTCTCACCTATTGGGAAGGGTTAGGCTAGGCAGGGAAAGCCGCCCTCTGTCAGCAAGTTCTCGACTGTGTCTAGTCAGAACCTTCTCGCTACTCTTAACACTTTCGTCTACATTAGAGGGAACATGACAAAAAGCTGGACGGTATCAGAGGACGGGCCTGACACGGCACCGGTCAGAGCGTCTTCAGTTCTGGTCTGTGCTTATCAGTGTCAACAGTTCGTTTGTGTCCCATCGGTCATTTAAAGCCCAGATGCTTCACCTTCATTGTTTTGAAGAGATCTCTGCGGCAGCGATTTAATGACGCTTTCATTCAAATGGAGGTCCATAATTGGAAAGAGACAGTGGCTCTGCCCGCCCCAAGGCAGAGCCACTTATACAGCAGAACCAGTGCTGTGGTTGCAGGTCTGCTGCTGCTGCTGCTGTTCCGGAGTGCCCTGGATGTTCTGATTGTCCAGGGGTAACAGCACATCCGTCGGGATGCGCGACTGGAACTTCTCCAGCTGCTCTGGACTGGCTAGGTTCTTCAGCAGGTAGTTCTCTCTCTCCAGCTGGTTGTTCTTCTCAGCCAGCTCCTTGATCTGTTCCTTGAGGATCTCCACCTCCTCACGCACTGCATACATCAGGTGGTTCTTGACAAGGTCCTGTCATAGCAAAAGAAGAGAGATTAAGTTTAGGTACGTAAAACAGAGCAACTGTTACGGCCTGCGAGGCTGGTTTGATTGCTTGCACAGTCTAAAAGAAGGACTGGGTTTGCCAGCCAGGTTTTTCCATTAGAGGATATCTGCTACTATATTTTACCCCTAGTCGCACATGTACTTCTTGTGATCTAGCAGGCACAATAAAGTTCACATGTTACTTAACTCAAAAGTGCACATTCCTGCACGTTTACTACTTTGCACGTCAATAAAGCGTGCAGCAGCCTGTGCTACGGTCACATTGCAGGGACTTCCTAGAGACTTCACAGAGTTGAGTTTACATAACTGTATTTTGGGCGGTGGTTGATTATAACTGTTCTGATGTATGAATTAACCTTTAGTAAAGAAATCTAGCAAAATCTCACAGTTTTAAGGTCTGGGAGGGAAAATATCTACTGTGATACACAATTAACATGTTAACTTTCTGGTTATTATCACTTTGAAGGAAACAGCTATGCTACTTGTGCACTGCATGCATGTGTAATGCATCTGGGTGTAGTGGCTGGTGTGTTATTAGCTTACCATGGCCTGCTCGATTTTGTTGTCAATGGCCACAACGCTAGCACCAGAGGCACTGCAAAAGAGAAGAAATAGAGCCCATTAATTAACATTCTGCAACTTAAAACTCTTCAAGTCACCTCATATTCCACAAAAGAAAAACATGTCGCTCCAATTCTGGGAATTCCCAGGGCTACTAAGGTGAAACAGAAAGCATTCCAAACGGAAATGAAAACCGTTTGCTCCGCTTGTATCTTGGCTACTTTTGCCAAGCATAAACTACACGTTAATTGCTTTTGGAGTCAGATTAGGGTTTTATTTAGGTTTCAGTGTAACCTTGTATGTGGCAGCCAGCTAGCGATAAGGCAAATAGGGCAGAACAGATATCTGTTCAAAGTCCACAAAGGCAGCAGAGAGAAACACAGCTCAGCAGAAAGTATTTGGGAACTCTAACATCAGAAATCGAGCACATAAATTTGTTTTGAACCACCAGGAAAGCATTCAGTATTGAAGCATAATAAGGAAATAAAAGAAAAAAGAACAAAACAGACGAACGTTTGGTAAAACCTCACACATAAAAAAAGAACCGTATTCAAGTATTTGATGACCATATCGCAAAGATAATTACCTGTTGTCAAGTTTGACCGAAACAACGTCTCCTCCGAGTAAAGAGGAGAAGAAAGAGATGGAGAAGTTATGCAACTGGTAGACGGCAACCTCCATTGGTGTTTTAGCGAACATCTCCGTGCTCATGTTGAGTACCAGACTCGTTTGGATAATATTTCTCGCCACGTTTGCGGCTGGTTGATCAGCTAAATAGGGATCCGGGTTTGTTTCGTCTTTAGCAACGATGCACTAACTCGCTTCGGGCTGAGCGCAGTGCTGTGTCGGGTTTGTTAGCTTCGCGGATTTTTACAAGCGACTGTCTGATGCTATTTCTGCCACCGGCCAGTATTTGAACGACTGCCGTCCTGACGTCACATGACGCGTGCATAAATTAGTCAAATAAGCTGAGAAGGAGGGGTGAAGGGAGGGGGGCAGTTTTGTTCTTTTTGGTGCCTTCCAGTGTCATGAGAAAAAAAACAAGAACATTGTGAGATTGATAAACAGCCACGCACTCAGCATTTTTGTTGTTTTTTTTTGACATAATAGTTATACCATAGGTCACGTAGTGATCATTCAATACATTGATCATAAGACTGGCTGTAGCATTGATTATGTGTTTGGTCTTCATTTAACTACTTTTTATGTTTTTTTTTTCCTCTGCAGGTTCAGTATAATCAGGATAAGTATGATGCAATGACTTGCATCAGAACTAATAAAAATCCCAAATACTAAAGTGATGCATTCATTTTGAATCCTTGCTTTTATCTGTTTTATCAGATTATTAACGTGGCTATATGATAATTATTGCATATATATATGGTATATAATACTTGTATCACGTATATAAGCAATCATAACCCTTTGAAATTAAAGAAATATAAGCTTGATGTGGGTCTTGAATCACTTCTCTTCAGTAAACCTTTTTGATAGTTTAGCCGTGCACCACTTAAAGCAAAGCAGTCACGATAAACAATTAGGTTTCATTACCCTTTTAGTAAACAGTTACTACTCCAAAAGCCGAGCTTAAACGTCAGCATTTGAAGGCAGCGTCAGCTCTGCCCCGCTGCTGAACCTCTCGTGAGCCTCTGCGAACCCACAGACCGAAATCCGCAAAGCTGCAACAAGTAGTACAAAACAAACATCTGAACACGTTAGCCTGCACTGTTACTCGTTCTTGTAGCAAATTAAAACCCTGATTGATGTAAATAAAGCCAAAAAGTTTTTCCTTATACTGTCATATGGCTAATTTATTAAACTGACTTATTTAACAAGTGATTTTTTTAATGTGACTTCTCAGGAAGATTGTTTTTTTTTTTTTTCTTTCTTTTTATCGTGTTACATGTCAGTACTGATAGTCTTACCGCTTTGAGGGGTCCTGAAAAGCGCTATATAAATGCAATCCATTATTATTATTATTATTATTATTATTATTATTATTATTATTATGTAAAAGAAAAAAAAACTCACATTTTGTTCCCATGACCGGTTGATGATACTGTGGAGTTTTTCACAGTATATGCTCTAACAGAATGTCCTGCACCATCCACACCTACCATATGCACATGTATGGGTACTTTTCCGTCCTATCCACCGGTAAATTTCCAATCAGTCTATGTCTGAACTCTACCGGACTCTAGTGGTGAAAATGTAGACTACATTGCACTTGGGCAACAAAATTAATTAGGGGGAATCTGGTGTTTCCTTGGGAATTTTCCGTACACCCCTTCAGACATTTCCAGGTTGTTTTTCCAGTTCTGGAAATTCTCAAATGGCATTCTATATTTATAGTTAAGGACTTTGGTCCTACTTGTTCATATGGTATATGCCTACCACATAATTTCTTGTTCCTTTTAGTTTTTATCACACTACAGTCCATTGTATCAGCCAATAAACAACATACTGCAGGATATTTAAGGGGTGATCTGTACCTCTATAGCAGAGGTGGGCAATTAATTTTTCCAAGGGGCTCACTGGGAAACTGGGATTGTTGTGGAGGGCCGAACCAACAAGCTTTTAAAGTGATAAAATTAATACTGAGCAAAATTGAGTTCAGCTTATTAGTACTGCCCTCCACAACAGTCCCAGTTTCTCATGTGGCCCCCTTGGGAAAGTTAATTGACCACCCCTGCGTAGTTACATCAAGCATCAACAACCTCTTACTGGAGTACATCAATTTGCAATGCTCTCTAAGCGAGACCTTTTCGAACGGGCATGTTACCACATGAAGCTCAAATGCATCCACACAAAGCATAAAATAATAAGTCATTTGTCACATAGGATAACTACAAAGGATACAGAGAGAGAACACCTGCTGTCATCCCATTTTTCCCATCGCATTACCCACTGCTATTATTGCGTAATAGACCTTGTTTTCGCTGCAGGTTTTAATAGCTTTAATGTAATTTCCCGGCACTTCTCAGCTGTCACATTATGTTCCATTTTGTTGTTGCAATTATCTGATTCAATACTGATAATAAGCCAATTACAATTTTATTAAAGAGTCTCTGCATAACAATTCTTCTACCGGCACATCAACTTGTGGAATATTCAACCATGGATAACTTTTATGCAAATTCCCTGCTGAGGGGGGCCAACTCTATTAAATTTGGCTCATTCATAATCCACATCCTTTCAGTCATATCTTTCAAAAGGATATTAGGTCTATTTAAATAAGGACAGAAAAAAAAAATTAGGATGTTATCTGAATAAAATAATTCAATTATGAGTCCAAAGATATTTTTTGCATGATCACACATGCCTAAAGACCGTGGACCTGCATTTAAAATATTAAATAATCCCAGACCTCTAACTTTTTATAACTTTAAAAACCTTTTTCCTTCTCTTTTTTTTTAAAGAGGAGAAAAAGGAGTTGTGTTACATAACAAAACAATTAAAGTGGAAGGGCTGACTTCTGGTTGGACTAACAAGGCTTAGCAGAAAGCACATTGACTGGGTATTAGGGCCCATCGTGCCTGTCGTCTCAGATTTCGTGCTGCGACAGTTCAGCTGCCAGGTTTAATATCCAGCCTGCTTCGAGCAATGAGAGACAGGTGAATTACCCTGCCCAGCAGTGATAGTCCCATTTTGGACGAAGGAGTCACAGCGAATGTCTTCAGCTGAGATGCACAGATAGGACCTACACAGTGGGGAGCCTTCCAGCACAGTATAACCAATGAACCGCATTAGGTAAGATGATCACAGTGTAAACTGAGTCTCCTGCTTTTCCTACTACAGAAGCTTTAGAATCGCTCTGATACAAATTTAAGTGATGGAAAATAGCGATTAAATTCCTCCTTTTAAGAGGAATACAGATTTTTCCTGCCTTTTCAAAAAATAAATACCCTCGTGTTTCTGTGGAACACCTAATGCCTAACCATTTCGGCGTGTGCCCAATTCACTGAGTCATTTTGGAGCTAGGCGATGGCCCACAGTTTCCATCAGATGTCTCCTGCGCAAGAGCCAACTCCATTATATAATACCATGATTCATCTGTACTGATGGCTTCAAAAGAATAAGGCCGTCACATAATACCAGCCTTCCAGCTTTTTGCTATGAACAGCATTTTGGGAGTTGTACTTTTTCCCCATCAAATTGAAGCTATTCATAATACTGCAGAGAAAATATATACAGAAGCAAAAACTCTTTTTGGGCCAATTAGGAATGCATAGCGTGGATAAGAGTGTGGCCCGGCAATACTCGTGCATGCCAAAGGTTGCAGCCAGAGGCTATCTCAGAGGAAGCTGGCAGTGTGGGCAACAAGAACAGCTACAAACAATGAATACTGAATTCACACTGAACTCATTCATACACTAGGACACCCAGAGGCAGTCGTTATTATCTCATCACCTCAGACTCTTGAGCCATGAATAACAATAGGGCGCATGGCCTTGGTCTTTCTCATGAGATCTTTCAATAAATTCATGCCCTGGTATTGAATGTAACATTTCTTTATGTGATATATTGTGCATGCAGAGAGTGATGACAGGATTGACACTGCTATCCAAGGACTGGTAGTGATATCACTTTTCCCGCGTTCAGTGCCGCGAGCACAAAAATCCATTTTTCAAAGTCACCACGAGCAACAGTGCAAAATAACACCCCAAACGAACGTGTTACTCTTGTAATCTCCATAAGTACATCTGATAATGAGCCTGAAGCTGCAGCATTTTCTTCTAGTGCTGTTTCTCACCACATGAGCAGATTGAACATTATGAAAACTGTAACGGCAATCATTTCATTTAAGGATTGTAACTGCTGTCGTTTTGTGAAGATACTACAATGACAACTCTATATCATTTCGATGTTGACAAGCTGCCAGCCTCCGCCGCTCGTCTTCTCTTTAACCGCCTTTGGCGTGCGCATCTGTCACCGACACATGTTACTGTCGAGCCTGGCGAATGTCCCCACACCACAAGCAAGACAAATTCTCCTACTGTCCTCGGCCGCCCCCACTTACCGCCGATCTGGCCTCTTGAACAGACTCGGTGAGTAAGGGGGCGAGTAGCTCATAGGTCTCTCGGGAAAGTTGAAGTGCTGGTAGTGACAGCAGAATCTCTGGGATGGTTCGGCCAGCCGGAGGGCGCACACCGACCTAGGTGAGGGTGGCCGTGCCCCAAGAGGGGCAACTTCAGCAGGACGCGTCTTAGACTGTCCCATTCTGGCTTCCAAATGAAGAGGCTGTTCAAGAGTCGAAAGCCCTTTTAGTGTTAGCTCACTGTTCTGCTGTTGTTTGCTCTCAGCAGCTGTTTTCTCAGAGCACAAAGAGACAATTGAGGTCTGGCGAAACCTCTGGATATGCAGCCATAGCTGTGAGTGCCATGCTCAGGCTGACACTCGTATGATGCGTCTCCAATCTGGCTGAATACAATGGCCTCAGAGTTACAATGAAAATGCCAGTTTGCTGAAATGGCGCCAGTGGTTTCATCTCTAAATCGCTGGAGTGCCTCTTTGAGGCAAACAAAGCAAAAGGTATTTCTCTGACTGCACCTGAAGGGAACAATCATCATGCCTGTCTTCTTACCTCATGTAATCGGCCGTAATAAGTGCAATAAAAATATCATCGGGCCATTCTCCCATGATGTGAAACAATCTTGTTAATGTAATGAACCTTTACATCACAAAACAAGTTTTTTGGACACCTCATTACACAACTCTTTATGATTTCCATATAACTTAGCTCGGCTGCCTCTTATGCAACATGCCTTATCCTGTACTTGAGTTAAAAAATCCCAAAGTACTTTTAATTGCTGGGTTTGTCAACTGCAGTATGCTTTCATTGTCATCAAAGGGTGTAAATGTTTGAAGAGCTACTGCTGTTGTTAAAGGTGTAACACCAAAATGAACCCACGC